AAATACAGTAGTGAAAGCAATTACGAAACAAAAACTGAAGCAATTACAATCACTTCTCCAAATGTGGAAGCCTGAAATACTTCAGGATACAAGTCCTCTAATTACAAATCTAGCAAATAAGCCTATACAGCTTTACCTCTGTGCTGGCAGGAAATTGCAAAATAGATCATCAAGAAACCTAGTTATTATTCTTCTGGACTTCCTAATGTATCAGCAATTTTAAGTGTTGGTATTTTGATCACTCAGTTCTGGAAGAGCTGTTTGGTTATTCTCTTACAGACCAGAAATAACTTAAAGCTTTCTTAGTTCATTGTCCATCTGTCCACAATGTCTTGTGCTATACTGTCTCTGAGGACTTGCTGTAAAAAATGGATGCTTTTTACTCTAAGATACTAAAGACTGACATATTTAGGAGATTAGAGAATTCATAAATAAAAAAATATGAAATCAGCCTAAAATCCCTATGGTACATGTTTTTCTTAAGATAACACAAAGTTTAAGTGGACTCTTGAAGCTAGATTCCTGAAGCATCATTCTTGATACGAAAATCAATAATAATTATAGCTCTGCATATCAATCTGTAATCGCTCCTGCAATTTGCTCTGTGTAGGTAACTGTAGTAAGGAAGAACAAAGCTTTTATATGTGCCGAGTTAGATAAAATTGCTAATTGTAAAGCAAAGCAGTTTTATTATTGTTTAGCCTATGTGTTAGTTTGAAAAGGTACATGCTGACTAAAATGAGCTACTGCTAAATGATTAGGATGGTCTAAGCTAACCTAAACTAAGCTCTGTGGTTTTTTTACCTAAACAAAATATATGCAAATAACTTTCAACAGTTGGATTATGCTCAGATGAAAAGAAATTTTGAGGGTGAAAGCAACACAAATTTTGTTTTTATGAGATCAAAATACATAATACCTGTCCTTAGGTTCAGTTCATGTAACTTAGGAGTATTATATTAGTAACTAAAAAATTACAAAAAATAATGCAGCACTTCTCTCTAAGGTAGACGATCTGCTTGAAGGAAAAGTAATGTGCTTGTAACTGCATTCTAAGCCTTATATTGATTTTCTTTGCACAGCATCCAACTGCAACATATAATAAATAATGCAATCACAAAATTGCATATACTGATTAATGGAAAAACAGATCAGCTGACTATCTAAAAATCAGTCTGAAACACAGAAGGAGTGATAGAGTAGAAGCTGGAAACCCCCCCTTCCAAGTTTTCTCAAGATATTTCTTTAGCTTAATAATTACTCATGAATGTCTTATATTCTATGTAACCTAAGAATGAGCCTATCGGTTTGGTTATTTGTAATAGTAAGTAATACCCTCTAGTGGTATACGTAGGAAAAGGAAAAGAAGCCAAAGAATGATTACCTTTTTTTTTTTTTTATCATGAAAGAGGCTAAATAACATTTTCACTTGTATAACATAGAGTAGTTGAGAGTTGAGAAGTGCTAGTTAAAATGGAAAATGCACTGCAAGCATTAGACTTGAGTTGGATGTCTGGGTTTAGTTACAACAGCTGGGTCTAGAATATGACCTGGACCACTAAAAGTCTTGAATCACTTGTCTGCAGACAAAACAAATTGCCACTGCCAACATCTGCAGTCTAGAAGGAGTGGTTTTAGTGATGTCCAAGTCAGAGAGATCTGTTCTTATATCTGAGGGCTACATTTAATTCCTGCACATTAAAACTAACTCTCTAGGCAAAATAGGAGTATCTGTCAGTCTCTAATATTGCAGCATAATGAAGTCTGTATTTCCAGACTCTATGTGCAATTCAGAGTTCATTATAAAAAAAAAAAAAAAAAAGATTTTCTGAAGCAGCTCATATACAGGGTTTCCTGCAGTTACCAAGACTTTTGTTTTATTTGCCAATTCGCATTGTTTAGAGATCGAGGTGAAAACTGACAGTGCTGAATAAAAAAATCCAACAAATGCCCCTCTTACCAAGAAAAAGCTGTTGAGCTTATTAAAAGAAGTGTGCAAATACTCTTGAATCTTTTCCAGAAGCCCAGTGTACTACTGCAGAGTAATCTAGGTCCATTTTGAAATCATCTTTGTTTCCATAAACAAAATAACCCTAAATAATTGTAATATCCAGGAACTTCTTCCATTTCTCTACAGTAGCAAGTCAACGTGCACAGTGTTTGTCATAATGTGATGACTTGACTGGTATCGTATCATTCTGATTGTCACTTTGGTTTTGCCCTTCCTCTGCAACCCCATTATTGCTAAAAGATTTAAAGGATTTTGGTAGTTGTTGTCATTTTCTGGTGGCACCGATTACTTCCTGCCCCTCCAAGAGGAAGGATCCCATACTATTCAGGTATCACACTGGTTCAGATTTTAAATCAGCTTCTAAACTGATGTTAAGCAACATGGTAGTCAGAAGCCAATTATTTTAAGTCCTCATGAAGGAAGGATTTACTATGCCTTATCTTTCTGAGCTGTAGTAATTCTGTATTATGTTCCTGGCATTAGTTCAGCTACGACAGGGTCTCGGACCGGTGTAATCTTCAATACCTCTGGTTACCTCCTTATTACTCTTTTTTCTTACGCTGTGGCAAACCAATCTTTGCTCTCTTTCTCCTCTTCTAAAGCATGTAATAGAAGAATGAAAAAAAATTCCCATCTCCCAGGCTGGTGTAACTTCACGGATACTAACATAGTACTATAGGATCTAATTAAGCTCACTAAGTTTCAGACTCCACGGTTAATAAAACTGAGACAGTAGTTAAAAAAGTTCTGACAAGGATTTATTAATTTATGCTTTTGAACAAATGTGGCTGACAGTTGAACGATGAGATTGCCATACTCTGTACAGAGAGGTTTTTTCTAGAAATCTTCTTTCCACTGTGTTGACAGAACCTGCAGTATAGAAGTTCAGGAGTGGGTGTCAGTTCGCAGACTCTAACCCAGTTACAAAGATGGCTGCATGCCCAGATGAGAAGAAGGTTCAGACTTTCTTGCTACTCTTCCCGTTTCCGTATGTTCAATCTTGCTGAAAAACCATTCAAGCTGTCTGACACCTGGCACAGGAGGGAGACACTAGGTGTTACCCTCCTGTGTTAAGCTGGCTAGGAAGTTTTATTACCAAAAAGAAAAGGAACAAAAAAAAATCTCACAAAGCTATTTCAAGCTAAAAGCTGGAAGGAAAGAAGCTAGTCAAGCTGAGCCTTCTGTGCCTTTTTTTCCATCCATGCCGAAGGTTGAGAAAAGTCTCCTTCGAAGCGAAAGAACCTCTATACTTTAACTGGGGGAAAATGGCAGTTCTGTGGTTACTATAAAAATGCTGCTTTCTGGCAGGTGGGCAGAAACTGTCTGTAAGTGGCATTTTGTGCAGAACGCTTGCAGATGGGCAGATACTGACTGTGAATGGCATTCTGTGCAGAACACTTATTTTTCAAACCTTTAAATACTGATTTATGTATATAAGAAAGACATATAAAATCTCTAAGTATTTTCTCCAAGCCTTGATTTCCTCATCCACTGGCAAAAAATAAATATTACAGTTTTCTAATCTTCACTTGAATTGTCAAATTCCTCCCAGTCTGATACACTCATAACTTCTGATGGAAAGTCAAGGTGATACTTCATGCGGTCTGCATGCCATTCTGAGAACCATTTCTCTGTTTCCATTAAAATAGCCCTGGGCAAAGTGAGGACGCAGGCAGCCATCCCAGAAATATCATCCTCCAACTGGGGTCCTTCCTCCCAGCAGTCTCTCTCTGCATCATAAATGTGGACGTAATCCATGCGGATTCCTCTGTTGTGGGATCTGCCTCCCAAGACATAGATCCTGTTGTCTAAGACCGCAATACCTGGTTCTCCATGTCCTGCAGGAAGCGGACATACATTTGTCCACTGATCAGTGCTTGGCCTATAGCAGGCAACCTGCAAAAAAAAGAAAGAGATTAGCCAAAACCAAACTTGTATCTTAGTGACAGAGCCTGGCCATATGGCAAACTATTTAGGAAGCCATGCAATATCATCAGTATTTTGACAGGGTGTTGATAATGGGGAGAGTGTTTCACTATGTAATAGAAATACAGTACTCAGCAAAAAACTGTATGTAGTTGCCATATAGCTTTGAATTACAACTTCTGACCTGCTGCTGGGGTAACAGCTGTATGTCATTCAAAAAATGTATACAAAAGTGAAAGAGATGGGGACACATGCTAATATAAGCTCAGATATAACGCATCTGTTTGCATTAGGAAAAAATGTGCCAGAACATACGAATATGAAAAATCTGCTAAGCTGTCTCTGCACCATATGTTGGGAAGTTTTAGATTTCGTTTGGTACCTACTTGGCTAACTGCTTTTATTTGTAAGCACCTTTTTATCATTCAGATAACACTTTTCAGCTAGATTTAATTCTGCCATCTTCATTGTCTTTATAAGAGCAGTTACTTTTTGTGTTTCTTTTCATGTCTCTAGCAGTTCTAGAAGCGGGAATACAACTCAAGAGAATTCTCTCCAGCCATCACTTATCATCAGGTACTGTATACTTAATTGCATTATACAATTGCCATCCAACAGATCCTTAAAATCTCTGTCCTGCAATTACACATTGGTAATTCAAAAGTCCTCGACTTAGAAAACAATGCATGTGAGAAGACAGTGCAAAGTAAATTTAGTTGATGTGCTACTTACTGGGTACGTACATCCCAATAAATGTTATCCTTCAAAGATGTTTTAAAATTGGTAGGAATGCAAAGTGCTAGAGTTTTAATGCTTTGTGGGTGAGACAATGCGTTCAAGACAGACAGCAGTAAACAAATCATTGCAAGTTCTGCAGTTGCGTGGGGGAGAGCTGGTGCAGTCCTGTTGCTAGGCAGGCAGTTTTATTTGCATACTTAGTAGGAGAAAGACATTACATCAGAGTAATCCATAAGAAAAAAAGCATCCATAAGAAAGAGATTCTTCCAAGAAAGACATAGGTATGACATGCTCTCACCTGGTGAACATCCCGTCTGTAGCCAGAATCATTGTTGCTTCCTCCAATTACATAGAGCTTTCCTAGCAGTGCAGCCATCCCATGCCAAGCACGTCTCACTGGACCATCTGCTAAAACATCCCAGCGGTCAGTCTTTGGGTCATAACATTGTAGCTCCTTCAAATAGTCTTCTCCTCTCCTCCCACAGGTAATATACATCTTCCCATCCAGTGCTGCTCCAGCATGTGCATATACCTGTATCACCACATGGGAAAGCAAGAGGTTGAGGTCTGGATTTATGTATTTCTCCCAGTTTCAAAGTATGGATTAGACATTAGGGAGTGATATTCTTCATGAGTTATGCAGATATCAACATCTGGAAGGATTTTCTTACAGACAATTCCTTTCTGGGTGATTATGCTATAAGTGTTAATTTCTGAAGGAAATATCCTAGAATTTCTAAAACTTCCAGAACTGCAGTGGGCTCTCATTCTTTATTGTTCCTTGATTAGAAGATTATTCCTTCAATTACTTCTCTTCCTAGTCTACTTGGAAGTCTTTCTGTTGGAGATTTTTCTTATGCAAGCAGTGTTATCAGGAATGCAAGATATCCTGCTTCGTAGCACTCAACTGGATCTTAAGGCTTTGTATATTCTCAGCATTGACACACATTTATTGTTTGTGACCTTACGCAAGCTGTTCATCCTCTCTGCATCCCTTTCATAAAATGGAAGTAATATTTATATTTTTAAGGTGTCCTGAGATTCTCAATTGAGAGGCATTATGAAATCACAAATACTATTTTGAGGTGGTCACTTGACCCAAAGCTTTGAAAAGGTGTAGTAGAAATCAGCATAGTTTCTTGAAAGATAACTTAGGATTTTAGTTTTCTTCCCTAATCAAGATTCATCCAGCAGTTGTTTGTATTTATCTTCCTCCTTTGCAACACTTTTAACCTGAAAATAGAAAATCTTGCCTTTTTTAGCAGTATTAGAACAAACTTTTCCATTCATAACCCCAATTCCTATGTCACTACAACACTTCCTGGTTCCTAGGGTCATGACTGCTAGTTTGGTGATCGCTGTTCTAGAAGGATAAATGGTACTGATGACAAAGGATCGCTTATTCACTCACATATTTCAAATGAGTAATGGTCTTATGTTAGCTGACTGAGATGTGATCTGCATCACATAAGCTCTTGTCACCAGAACTTGTTACCAAATCTCAGTTCTGTGTCCAGGAACTAAGTAGTCTATAGAAATTGATGTACTTTCTTACTGAGGCATCATCTCTTCTGATCAAGAGTAAAACATATTGTCAGGACTGTAAGTGAGAAGCTTGTACTACTGTGACTCGGAGTTTACCTGCCTAGGAGAGATGGGAACTGCCTGTTTCCAAAGGTTGTGTGTTCAATTTTAAATGGTTTTAAGGATTAACACAATAAAGGTGCAGGGGAAAACAACAAGAAAACAGGAAAAATAAGCATTTAACTTCAAAATGGAATTTACATCTATTATTATTCTCCTTCCTTGATATTCATTTTTCCCATATACAGAGGCTACTGTTTCCCATCTGAGTATCAGCACATTTAAATCTACACACGAGAAACGCATCTAAAAAGATGAAATCAGGAACTGGGGAACTGTGGTAGTATGTGCGGCTAATGCACTCCTTACCTCCTTCTTCAGAGGTGTCACATATTCCCAAGTGTTGCTTTTAGGGTCATACCTCTCCACTTCCCTCAGGTCTTCATGGTAATCTCGGCCTGCGACGGCATATATATAGTTGTCCACAACACAAACACTGAGGTCAGCATGCTCTTGCTGTAGGGACTGGATCTGGAACCATTTGTTGTGTCGCGGGTCATACCTTGTAAAAGAATAGGATCAAAGAAGGTTAGTCATACAGCCACAGAATCGTTGCTGGAATACCAGACAGCACCGCAGATGTGGGTAACTGTACTGTCTTTGACTGAAATTGAGTTCAGCTGCAAGTGGAGTGAAATTTTGCCTTATCATCATTTTATTATTAGCAAAGTTGTTTTATTCTATTTTTAGAAGATGTATTTTAGCTGATATAACCACGCTATAAAAGCCTAGGCTTTCCATTATCTTACGCACTGCTGTCAGGTTATGTATCAAAATCGCTGCTTGCACAAAGCCATTCTACAAGGTAAAACAGTCTAAAGATAGCACAAAGACCGAACCTGGATCTTCGAGTGTCCAAGAAGGGCATAAATATGTGGTGGGTTCTTTGATTCTTTTCCCCAAATATCTGCTGCTCAAAGGAATCTCATGATTCATTTTCAGATCAAAATATCTATCTGGTCTGGAAATTTTAGTTACAGAGAACACTGGCTGTGAAGTGAAACTATGCAAGCCATAAAGTAAGGGCAACTTAGCTAAAACTAGTAAAAATGACCACAATATAAAGACAAAAGGGTTTATCTTTTTAAAAACAAATTTAAAAACAAAATATCTGGTTTTGCAATGTAATTGGCATTAAGATCTAAACCTTATCCTTCCTACTGCTCTTTTCGCTGACACAGAAGCATATAAGAGGACACAAATCCTTGATAATCAACCAGTAATAGCATTTTATTTAAAAATCCTTGTTGTTAGCTAAACCCCCTTTGTATCGGGACCAAAAGTACACACAGAGGACTTCTAGAAAATCCTAGTTCAAGAGCATCTAGACAGTCTAGGGTTCTAAGGAATCCTAGCTCATCACTGCTTCTCACACCTTTAATACTTCCCCCCCACAATAAGGCAGGAAGGTAGCACATATAATACTCCTGAATGAGCAGCTGTTTCTGCCCTGTCAGGCTTTGTCCCATAAGCACTGCTAGAAGCTTCCTGTTACTATAAGGCTCATTCCTTTTATTTCTTGTTTTCTTTCAGTGAGGCCTCTGCTCAGTTCCTAATCTTTTGGCTGGCCAGTGTACAGACTGCGCTACTGGCTTACGGACTCAGAGATGGTCAACAGGGTTGTAATAAAAATAATAGCAGGATTATCCTGATCTTACCTCCAACACCTTGACTCTGCTCGAAAACCACTTACATTGTTGTCTCCGCCAATTAAATATACAAAATTATTGAGAACAGCAATCCCTTGATTGGACATTCTGGGGGCTAGTGCAGCTGTAAAGTGTCTCCACTCTCCCAACAAGGGGTTCAGATACTTGGCTTGATCACTGAGGACAATGGATGGAGTAGAATGCATTCCTCCAAATCCCACTACACACTGGAACTCTGATCTCAGCTGCGTCTGGGAGCTCTGAAGCATTGGCTGAAGACATTCATTCTTGTGGTACATTAATGCGTCTGCGACTGTATCTTTTAAAGGACATGGACTTAGTTTGTCGTGAAGCCTTTGCAGGATCTGGGGTTCCATCAGAGGAAAACGAACTGTCTCAAGTAGCTTAAGGGGCTCCATCAGGGAGACCTGATCTGTTTCCAGTTGCTCTGGAGAATAATGATAAAAAAGTGCCCCATCATAAACTTCAAACTCATAGTTAACCTCCAAACGGTTACTGCTGAGAAGGGAGTAGACCTTCTGCAAGGGTAGCTGTCGGTACACTTGTGTCCTTGAGAAAGCTGCAAAGTTCTTCAAAATGTAGGAGTCCAGCTGATCACTCAAATGTCTCAAGTCATAATGGTCAGCTAGTCTGTATACGTCAAGAATGTTCTCTTCGTCTACCCAGGACATGAGAAAATCACAACAGAACTTAATGACTTCTGGAATCTGAAAGAGAGAGAGAGTTTTCATTTCAGACACCACTTGCCTCACCATCAACAGACAGGTGACAGAAGCCTGGGATGAGTGTACAAAAGTTCTCTACAAGACAACCACTCTCATCACAGTCTGATCACCGTGTTCACTTGCACCCAATTCACCTTTCCAGAGAAAAAGAAGAACTCAACATGGGTATGTAGATGAATATCATATATATATTCTAGCCACACTATGCTGCAAGCCTGTGAGTTTGGCTTCAAGTGCAGCAGCAATGTGTCTTCCAAGACACATGGGACACTGGACAGCCAGGCTGCCTGGTTTGTTAGCATAGCACCAAGCTGCAGGCTGCCTGGGAGGCAGTCATGTGAACAGAAGGCATGAAGGACATGGTGAAAGCCAGGCTTACAGCCATTCTGAAGTTGTTCTTTCAGAGCACTATGGACGTACTGTATCAAAGACTGTTATCTGTAACAAATGCATCTGCATCACTCAAGAGCACAGGAACCCATTTGAAAGGAAAATTAATATTCAGTGTTGTCTTCTGAATACAATTTGAAGTTGTATCTGGCAGGAGGGACTACTAGCAAATAACTAACTGCTGTCCAGGAGCCCCTCTGCTAACAAAGTGGTGCAAAGTGTATAGAAACAAACCAAAGCAAGCACCCAGAAAGTATAAGATGTAGTACTGAAGCCTTGTGTAGTGGTTAGCTGCAGGGGAACTTAGAGAAAACAACTTGTCTTAAAGGGACATGAACTCTGCACTTAGTGCAGAAACCGTAGTGGTAGGATTTCCTGTAGTGATGGGGTGAGGGGAGGTTATGTGCCTGTGGACTCAGTCTGGGGAAGATTTTGCAAGGCTTGAGCAGCACAACAATTTCTGAGCAGCAAGCCCTGTCCTTTACCATAGGCCAGATGTATTCTATTCTAGGGAAGCTTTCATAAGCAGACCAGTGGAAGTGAGTGCTGTATAAAATAGTCCTCTAGATGAAATGGTAAATTTTGATAAGTAATAAAACCATTGGCATATTATGCATACACTCATTCATTGTTTCTACTCTTCCATAGTAAGTTCCAGTGGATAGAGCATCCCAAAGAAATTCTTCTCATCAGATCCACGCCCTTTTTCACCCTCTAACCCTCCATCTAACCAGATATCTGTGTTTTCTTTGTCTCTCATTGTTGCCTTTGTTTCTTGCTTCTTTTTGTCACATCTCCTGGTACCTCACCTGAAGCTGACAGGCTGCAGCTAAAGTTTCCTGTACACTGTTCACACTGAGTTCCAGCTCAGAAGTGTAAATGAAGTTCAAGATTTTACACATTGCATTGTAGGAGATGCCATGAATATGAACTTCTTCTTGTTCCATCTCTCTCAGTCCTCCTGCAAACATTCCTCTGTAAAAAAAGACAATGGCACATGCTGTGGCAGATTTGCATTGAAGCTACGTTCAGTTTGCTTATCTTATGTTGTCCTGGGAACATAAAAAATATTCAGAAAGATAAAAAACTAGCCAGACAATTTTATGGTATTACCTCTTCTCTAAGCCAATGATAGAAAGAGTACAGGCCTTCAGGACCTAAGAAAGTAACACTCTTCATTCTGCAGGAAAATAGTCGGGGCCACCTGAAAGGCGGATTCAGAGCTGAAAGACTTAAATACAGACCCAGGACACATGGACAGTCAATGGGCAGAGGCAGATATTCTGGGTGTGGGGGAAGAGGAAAACCAGAGGAACTTGGGACTGTAAGAATTTTTTCTAAGCTAGAGCAGTGCTTCCTTCCTCCAGTTAGAAGTTTGTCTGGAATGCCTTGGGATTTGTTTGCTCTGTGAAAATAAAGTCAGCTCAAGAAACTGCTAGTCAGATTGACCAGGGAGTGCCTGATTTAATGGACAGCAAGTCACACTACAGGCATGTAACAGAGGAGTGACCTGCTTCCAGTGACTTTTTGTGTATTATGAAATTATCACCACAATGGGCAAAGTCTTACAATGCTAAGGATATATTGAAAGCCACCCAGAGTGCATTTATGCAGAAAACACTTGTTCAGATTGTCTCTCCTCTTTATATACCTCCATGTACCACTGGCAGTGAATTTAGTGGGGGTAAGCTCAGTGTGCAGGAACAAGAGCTTTATTTCGGTAGAGACATAACAGAGAGATGAATAAAGCCAGACTCAGTATTTTGAAACACATTCAGCTCCATTTTATGGCTCTAATTTCACATCCAGAAGCAGTGTGCCAAGACAGAAGATTTGGATGTTGCAGGTTTGAGTAACATGCTTGTCACTGCCATATGACGCGTACCTGAAATAGTCACAGGATGCAGCCAGAAGTATGCGATGAGCCTCAATAGGTTTCTCTTCCACTACCAGAACTACATCGAAGAGGATGCTGCTGTCTCGGAGAGATACCAGGCCACTGAGCAGGGCCTGAGAGTGCTCTGCACTGCGGTATGTGTTGCTTGTGCGCTGCTGAAGGGAGGGCTCAAGTTGAGCTTTGTGTGGCTGAGTCAGCTCCTGATCCTCCGCCATCCCAGGCAGAAATGCTCAGCCACCAGCTGTAGCAGAATGAAATCTGTGAGACAACAGAATCAGCAAAGGTTTGTGCCTTTTGCTTTACCAATGGTCCCCTGACCCCTGCCTGTCACAGTAAATAAATCAAACCAACTCTTCAGTCAATGGAGAGACAGTTCTACCCTGAATAAATTATTCTGAATGATGATACTGGAAACAGACAGGTGTACATCAGCACACCAAACTGGCAGAACATGTTTTTTCAAACAAGTATTCTGACTCTTGGGTTTTCAGTCCAAAAGTCAGAGTATGTGGCATGTGGGGATATTTTTTTTTTCTTAGCAAGAGTTTCACTTCCCAACTCCTTACCAGAACTGCTTGTTTCCTTTCTACTTCTGCATCATTTATAACAAAGAACAAAACTGACTTAATTTTTGCCAAATTGCAAGTTGTCTTATATCCTCAGATAACTTTGCTGCAACATAAACTACACCTTCACTCTTTCTCTTGATATTTTACCCCAGAATCTGAAAGCTCTCCTCTCTCCATCTTCGCTTTTTCATTTTCCTCAGCTGAGCACATTTCCATCTACCATTCTCTAAAATACTATATGAAACTGTAGGCTTCAAAGTGAGTTTTTTTATTGTGACAACTTCAAGCTAGCATGCACAACTGCTTTTCACTTCACCTTCATTCCCTGCAGAGAGAGGGTGTTTCCTCCTGCGTAGGCACTGTAGAGGGCTATCCTGTACCTTTTTCTAGGGCTGCCATTGACACTGTAGAAAGGTCCCCTATGGCACATGGGGAAACACCTGTAAAAAGCTAGCTGGAAATGATTGTGTTTCATGTCTATGGTTAAGCTCTCAAAATCTCATGAGTCCTCTTCCACCATCCTGTAATTTACCCTTTCCATTGTCTTTGAAGAATGTTACAAGTTGTAGCAGTTAGAACTCTTAGACTCTATCCAGTTGTCAGAGTGCATTAAAAAAAACACATTAGCTAAAGGAAATAACTTAGCTGAGATGGCTGCTTAAGACACAGTCATAATAGCCTCTCCTCCAGTGGCCTGGGAAATAGCTTAGTGGCACAAGGGATAGTGACAAGGGGTTATCAGCAGTCGGAGAAGCAAAAGCAGAACAAACCCGGCAAATCCAAACAAACAGTGAAGAAGTGGAACCATTGTTTAATTGTGCCAGCCACAGGCAGCGAATGCAGCATTGGAAATCTCTCCACATACTGCCAGGTATTCTGTGTGTGGTCAGTGAGGAAGGAGCTATCTGGATGACACCAAGAATATGAAAATGTTTACTGTTCTGCCTGAGGGAAGTTAATCTCTACTGGCCAAAACAAGAGGAAGCTAGGTGGCATTGCATGGTAAATGGGTTGGAAAAAAAACTGAAAAAGCATATTAACTGTTGTCTGCTCTTTGCCAGCAAAAACAAGACAACCAGTTCAGAGAAGGAGCTCTGATCAGACAGCCTTCTACGGAGCACATTCAGGTCCATTATATGGGGGAAACCACCCATCATCAGCTGGAGAGATGAGTAATGGATTATTTTTCATGACGGGTAGATGCTTTTCCTAGAGGTAAGATGACTGCTTTTGAAGCAGACAAAACATTACTGTATCATTTGGTTTGCTCCTGGGGAATAGTAAAAGTGATGGATTGATGCAAGGGAGATAATATAGTAAGAAAGGCAAGTGAAGGAGTGAGTGTTCCTAGATGTTAATCAGAAATTTCCTGTTTCACTAGAAGAGAATAAATGCAGCAAAAACAAAGTAGGGTGAGATATAGTCCAAATGAAGAACAGATTCAGATAAACCACATTAACAGAGTTAATTTGGTTTAATGTGGTTAACACTCCAGAATTAATGTGGTTAACGCTCAAAAAAAGGTTGCATCTTTTCAGCTACTTGGAGGGCTATATCAAAGTAAGTTTCTATGAGAGTAAAATCATTGCATCAAAAAGCAGAAGTAAATGTAACAAATTAACTATTTTGCCAATTTAAAGACTTGTTGGGTAGGGTGGTGAAAGAGAGGCTAGGAAGAAATAAGTGAGATATATTAAACTACAGAGGCCATTGAACCCATGTAACAAGTGTTAGCAAAAGAAACGTATTGTAGAAGTGATTTCTTGAGAGATACATGCAGGTTAGAGTGGGAAACCTGTATAACCATGCCAAGCTTTTACTCAGATCTACCTTTAATTAATATAACTGTAGACAGTTACTATTCAGAATACATTCTGTATCCAAATAATCTTGAAATGGAACAGAAAGGGTGTGAAGCTTTCAGCATGTAAAGCCCCAGAAGGGACAAATATGGTATCTGGGACCAGGAAGAACAAACACTGTTATGAAAGAGAGTAAATTAGAAAAAAAAAAGAAAAAAAAAAAAAGAAATAATTCAGGGATTCTGAAGCCTGTATAAACATTAGTATTTGCAGAACTTTCAGGGACAAATAGGGCTGTCTTGGAAATCTGGAGGGAGTTTATCTCACTGCTAGTTCTAATACATGCAGACTTGACTTGAATTATCCCACAACAGTTAGCAACAGTTGAACAAACCAGCCCTTCCAGCAGACCTGTGGTAAGCCCAGCGTGGTCAAACATAGATGCTGGGAGTGCAGCTGAACCACTTTCCACAGCTGATTTTTGGCTAGCCAACAGCTGAGCCAACAGGTATTTCACTACTCTGTTTTCGGAAATTTGGCAGTCCCTACTTCTTGTTCTCAACTTCTGCCTCTGGATTGTACCTTGGTGTCACTGGTGAGCTGGACTGTTCTCAGGGTGGTCACTCACGTGTGTACATCAACACAAGAGCTACCTTGTGCGTTTGCAGTACAGAGCCACTATGATAAGGAAATTCACCTCTCTATAGCTACCTGTATTTTGCCATCCACAGTTATTTGCTACTAACCAATTTTGGGTATGTAGGTTGAATAGTGATGCTGCTGCGGAAAAAGAGTGGAATACTACTAAGCAGGTACAGTGTATGTGGTCTAAAACTTGCCAACACTCACAGGCTCTTTTTGTACATGGATACATAAAGTTTCTTAATTACACTACGGCTACTCAGAGAACCTTTATCCTGTCATGTGTATCTCGCTACTCTCCTAAATTGGGCTTCGTGGCTCATAAATAAGCCTCAGCTCATACCTAGGCAGTGTTAGGAGATGGGAGACAAGACCTTTAAGAGAAGGAAGGCTTGTGGGTAATGGCCAGCAACTCACTTAGCTGATTACTGAGTGCCCTCAGCTTTGCAATAGCTGTACAAGGAGCAGCTGGGCTTGGGTGAGCAGGAAGTTACAAAGAGTGGTTGTTGAAGGAGGGTTAGGGGAGTTGTGTTCTGGGCTGCTTTGAAAGAAAAGTGGGGTGGTTTTGGTGTTCAGGTTTTCTGGACTAAATGCAGGATGCTTGGTAAGCTGATAATTTACTGTATTTCTTTGAATATTTTTCTAAATGCTGGCTAGAAATTTGCTGGGGAAGGGGTACTGGTGTTGGCACAGCACCTTGCTTCTCAGAGCGTGTGGCTGAACTGTGACCTTTCTCCTCTGTGCTTTGTGCCTTTGTCACTGCCTAAAAATCTGGTACCTCAGACAGTGTCAGTGTGCTGATCGTGTGTGATGTACCAGCTGGGGGAGAAAGACTGTTCATGTACCCAGGAGTTGTGGTGCCTTTTAAGTGTACATCAATCTTAAAAGTAGCAAGGAACTTTATTGCATAGCCTCTGTATATTTTTAGCTGAAAATAATTTAATCTCACATCCTCAAACTTGTAGTTTTCTTAATCTTTATTGTCCTTTAAAAAAAAAAGCTAACTATAGTACAAGTGGCATAGCTCTGAATGGAGAGACGGAACAGGTCTGTACAGCTTCTTGCATGCTGCAGAAAACTTTCTCCTTACTGTTTTTCCTTCCTGACCACTCACAAACTTTGCTGGCTTTTAGGGCTTGAGACACTGCTTTCACCAGCTGGCGCGTCTGTCCCTGTAAATGAAGGGACTGTAGGCGCACGCCCTTGCTCGCTGATGTAAATGCACAGTCCCTTGAACTGTGCACCCAGCAGTTCCTCTTTGTTCTTTTACTTCTGTTATTGAGAAACTAGCTCTGTGACTGAGCCAAGTTCCTAGAAATCCTTTTCTTTTTTTTTTTTTCCCCTCTCTCCTCTTGTGAAAGTTTCTCCATGCTGGTCAGCTGTGAACAGTAGGATTCAGTGGCTGAGTATTCCAGGGCTGACCCTAAGGTGGAAGAGATGAGGAACTCTTTCTGTTCATTGTGCTGCTTTAACAATAGCAAAGATAAAAAGTATTGTCTCGTGTGCTGTGGGATGCTGCCTCCAGACACAAGGGAAGGCACGTCCTTGTTCCAACCACTTTGAAACTACAAAGAAAGTCAGACTAGAGATATTCTTAGTTGGCTGCACAAGGTATTTGAGACTGTGATGATGGTTTGCATCTGTCCTTTAGAGGACATGGGTTAATGTAGTGATTAATTTTAGGCTGTTAAACAATTGAGTGCCCAGATGATGAAGAGGAAGGAGGCATATGAGGTCAGTGAGTGTATGGGCAGTGCTAATGTAGGTAGACATGCACTGTTTTATCACTTTAAATCAAGGAATTAAAACAAAACAAAACAATTCCCCATAAATGGCTAAACCCATTTTTCAATAGACCGAAGTTTTCTATATTCTGTGCCTTGCCAGCAGCTGGGTCAGGGCATATGTCCTGCTGCCATTATAGATATACTCAGCCTTTACTCTCTAGTGAGATATGCTTTGCTATAAATATAGTGTAGATAACTTAGCGTGCTGAAGTCTGTTATTGGTATGACATACACCTAGACAAGTATTCACCCCTTCTATGACTAGCATCCATGTCATACCGTGATGCTTACTAGTGTGTGGGGGGGTTGTTGTTTGGGGCTTTATTTGTACAGTTGTGCTGACAGCCTCGATTCTCTGCTGTAGAGAAATGGCTGGATACAGAAAGGATTATCCAAGTTAGTTTCTATGGAAACTCAGACATTTTTGTATTGAAGAGCTCGTGGTTGTCAGTGACATCT